AAAAAAAAAAAAAATATTTTCTAAATGAACCAACATCGGGAACATTGACAAGGGGTTACTTAGCGAATTATTCTATGTATGGATTGTGCACCTTACACGATTCATTTATTGTAATGTCGCGCGACGGGCGCGCGATATATGCATACACCGTTTTACTGCAATATAAATGTATATATAGAAAATAACATAGATTCAAAATATATATATCTATATCTATATATCTATCTATCTGTATATATATATATATATATATATATGTATGTGTAGATATATATGTATGTATATAGATAGATATATTCGTATATGTATATCCACATAAGAATGAAAATTGGGAGAGAAACGTGTGTTATCCGACGACCGGAAACGCATTTCCGCTGGGGAAATTAGTGTCCGGTTGAACTGCGGCTGAATAGTATTATTTTAGTTCTGTTGTAACACAATTGTCGTATTTAATGTGTTGACTGTTTTAATTGTCGATCATCGACACGTACCATGTTTCTACATGTTTCACTAATTCCTCTAATTTTCGCTTGATTCCATGTACCGTTACGTACAAATAACAAGCATTATTTTTAATAGAGAATGTGCGAGATTGTCCTGATTGTCCCCGCACGCTGGAATGCGTACTCGCGTTCTGCGTTATTTTTCGTTTTCTTTTCTTTTCTTTTCTTTTATTTTATTTTCTTTACTTTTCTTTTCTTTTCTTTTCTTTTCTTTTTTTTTCTCCCCTTTCTGTTTCGATTGAAATCACTATCCAATGTCTGCCGTCCTTTTAATATTTTTCCTCCCACTGAAGCATCCAGGATCTTACCTCGTGAAGTATTATACATACGAATTAATTCAATCGTAATTATCCGTATCCAAAGGACGTTTGAAAAGACGCAATTCCAATTGAAGATATCAAGTGGTTTGTAAATTTAAGAGAACGATTACGCAGAGAGTCGTGAAACGAACGTCCTTTTTATACGTCTATTTCTGCATGCGTTTTTTGCTACTGCTTGAGCATGTGCAAATCTTGGATCTTTTTTTCCCCTTTTTTCTTCTTTTTTTTTTTGTTTGCAAATCATCTCATAAGCATAAATTATATCATTCGTTACGTCGTTTATTATAAACTTGTTTGTGCGTTTTGCGTTTACACAACGAATTCATTGCGTATCTTTATCTATCCATGTTGAGGACTTTGTTGCACTTCATTCATCGACATACATATACATACAGAATTATTATCATTTTTCTCGTCACCAATTTTACAGCATAGAAACTCACATGAATACCATATCATAGCTTAACAAAGCAGACATCAGCGACGACAAGTTAAATTTACTCACTCGAATTTGTTGTTCGCAGACATAATCCGTTGCATATAATAGGCACGGTAGCCCTTCAAATGCGAAATGAAACATCTACTAATTTTACATTTTCTTTCAACCTCAAAGTCGTTCAAATTTCATTTGAAAACTTTCGTTGAACGTAATTGTACAATGTATCGTCGTGTGTCGTCGCGTTCGAAGGGTAAAACTATGTGTTTCACGTTCATCACCGCTTTTTACTTGTTTAAAGTTAATCGATCGTCGCATCGCGAAACACACATTGGCGAGAGAGAGCAGCACCGAGTACTTAATCACTATCTGTGTTTATAGGCGTCCTGTACCCAATATTCCCCCCCGAATTCCCGACAGACCCTACTACGGCCGATTAAACTGAGCTAGTCCATGGAAAGTACCGTACGACACCTGTGCACAACCACGGCCGAGAGTGTTCGAGGAGTTTCGTTCCTCTCGAAACGAAAGCCAATGACCGGGACAGAAAAACGAACGAGCTCAGGACGAAATGATGGAAGATGTGTCACCCCGATGCGTTAGCAAGTGGGTGGCAGATGAGAATCCGGATGAGAGAATCCTCTCCAGGACCAGAACCGCACGTTCATCCTTTCAGATCTGTGTCCTCCTTTTTAGTCCCCGGCTAATGTC